GTATTGTCTCCTTATGCAGCTTCCCTTTGGGAAGGGAGCTGGAAGTTTCTGGGTGGCTTGTTTCCCAAAGAAGGCCACTGGTCCTCTCAACCCCTCCTTACTGAGGTCTTTCCTGGCTCTCCTTTCTGCCAGGATCCCCTGAGGAGCGATCTGTGTTCATGAAGGCTTCCCAGAAAATGCTGGGCCCAGGAAGGGCCTCCTCACCCTTCCTGGATCTGCTGGGGTCCAGGGGGTCTCAGGATCAGCCAGCCCAGCTGCAGCTTCACCTGGCCAGGATGCCTGAGTGGGGCCAGGACCTGTTGCTGAAGCTGCATGCCCTGAGGGTGCCAGACAGAGTCCACCCCCGGGGTCCCATCAGACTGGTGGTGCACTTCTGCGCACAGGCCCTGCTGCACCAGGGTGGCACCCGGGAGCCCCTCTGGAGGCAAACAGTGCACTTGAACCTGGACTTTGGGGAGGGTGAGTATGAACAAGGCCTGGAAAATCACCTATAGGGATGGGAGCTGTGGGGTCATGAACAAAGCTGGGATGGTTCAGCCAGATTACACAGAGATCCCTGCACCCCAACACACACACGTGCCAGGTAGTGAAGCTGTTGTTGTCAGGGGGTCACATATGCCATGTGCTGTGCCTCTGACACTATCCCACTAGGTGAGACATAGCAATGACTTCTGGGGGCAGTAAGTATAGGTTAAGTACACTGTTTCTTTCTCTTTGTTATGCAAACATACTTTCACACACATACAGACTCACACACATAGTCTCTCACACATACAAATTTCCGTGTGTGTGTGTGTGTGTGTGTGTGTGTGTGTGTGTGTGTCTTTGTTTCCAGACTCAAGATGTCTTTTGTCTGTGCTTAGAGATACAGTGGCTGCTCTTGCTACCCTACGACAATTACAGAAACAAGCTGACAGATGAGAAGCTGATCCGTGTGTCTGGCATTGCCAAGGTGGAGGATATGGGGAGGTCCATGCTGGTCCTAAAAGATATCTCTCTGGAACCTCCCAATTTATCTATTGAGGTAAGGTGTCTTGGACAGAGATGGAGCCCGGAAGCCCTTTGACTCATCCGACCCAGGGGCTGGGGCTACAGCAGTGAATGAGATACAGTCCCTGCTTCAGACACCAAATAGATGATTAAAGCACAGTATGGTGTTGTCTTGTCCTCTGTGCAAAGTGCAGGGCAGAGTGGAAGTCTTCCCAGAGGAAGTGACATTTTGTGGAGGATGCATAGGAAGACACTGTCCAGAGAAATGAGGTGGAGATGAAAGCATTTTAAGTAGGGAGATAACTTTGCAGAGGCAGAGAGACAGGAGAGGCATGGCTGGGAGATTGAGTAGAGGAGCCAGATTTGAGAAAAACCACAAGTGAAATTCCAAAGGTGACTACAGATAACACAGGGTTGACAGGGAAGAGGGAGGACATATGAAAGGAGCCTCGGATTTGAGTTCTAAGATTGTGTGGCTGGCAAGGTCATTACAGGTGGAAGAAGGATAAATGGAGGGCAGAAATATTCCCCATCTCCCGTTACCAGGGGTTTTCCTTCCCTCAAAGCCTCCTTTCTCCATCTCCCCTCCTGTTCTAAAGAACTTGCCCACTGCCTGATCCCAACCTGGCTTTGCACCTGCTGGATTTGTTAGTGGCACACTCCACCCCAACCAGAATGAGTAGCTCCACATCATAAACCATGTGACCACCTGACAGTTTTCACCTGGGCGTGTTGTCAGGCCACGGTGCGGCAAACAGTGGGCAGAATCACAGCCTGGTGCTGAGGCGAGGACCCTGCCCCCATTACCCAGAGCCCTGGTTACAAACAAGATCCAATGCAAACACATCAGAACCAGAGTAGACTATCAATTGGTTCCCACAGTTAAGGGAACTGGGGATGATTTGTGTGAGTATGAAGGATCCCAAAGACATTTTTGCCTGTTCTACTTTGATGCCCTCATTAGAGGACAAGGGATTTGTTTCTTTCATTTGAATTTTAGAGAAGTCAGGGTGGGTTCTTACTTTTTCTTAATTCTCTGTTTGAGGCAGAACATGCCTTGAGTATGATCTGGGTGGTCAGGACCCATTTTAATTCAACATATGTTCATCAAATATCCACCACCTGGTTGGCACTGCACTAGGCACCGGGCTCTAGAAGTGAGTAGGATAAAGACCCTGCCTCCCACTCACAGGCCAAGGCCATGCTGCCCTATGACACAGACCTCACATGGGATGCACAGAACACACCTGGGGAAACTCAAGAGTGTTTCTACTGTCAGAACAACGTGGGGGAAAGATCCTGGCTGGGGTCTGGGACACCTGGCTCAGGTCCTGGCTCTGCCATATCATGTGACATTGGCCTCAGAAGGATAGTGCTAGGGGTACCTGGGTGGTTCCGTCAGTTAAGCATCTGCCTCTTGGTTTGGGCTCAGGTTGTGATCTAGCGGTTCATTAGTTTGAGCCCTGTATCAGGGTCGGCACTGATGGTGCTGAGCCTGCTTGAGATTCTCTTTCTCCCTCTCTCTCTGCCCCTCCCCTGCTTGTGGTCCCTCTCTCTCTCAAAATAAATAAGTAAACAGAAAAAAAAAGAAATATATCACTGATAGCATATGGATGGTGCATATAGCACCACTTCTTATCCCATGCCTGTGTCAGACGCTACTAATCAGTCATAACTCTCTGACTCTGGATTTGTCCTCAGGATCCTTTTCAACACACCATTTCTATTAGCCATGATGAACAGATTGGAGCTGGCACTTTAGTTGAAATCTAATTGCCATCCTGAACTAGATGGTGGGGAGGGAAATAGATTTCAGCTTGGTGCCAATTCCCAACTGGCAGTGGCTTCCTGAAGCATTGTGACTTTCTAAGACAGGTCAGGATATTTGTTAACCTTGAATACTCTTCGGCTTACATTCTTCTCTCCCAATTGCAGTGGTTTAGCAGTAAGGAAGCAGTCCCTGGTGGTGAAGAGAAGGACAGTGGAATGAGGGTACTGAACTGGAGTGTGGAAATGAGGCCAGTTGCCCACAATATCCCTGTCTTCTCTCCTCACAGGTGTCTAAAAGGGCTGAGGTGGGCAAGGCACTGAGAGTCCACATCACACTCACCAATACCCTAATGACTGCTCTGAGTAACTGCATGATGGTGCTGGAGGGAAGTGGCCTCATTGATGGGCAGATATCCAAAAAGTAAGTACCATCTGTCTCATGCTGGTCTCTGACAAGGGGTACCTTGTGGGGTCATAGATCGGTCCTTTGTCTCCTGAAGGGTGCCTACTTGTCTCCACTTTCCCACCCTCCATGGGGAAGGTTGACCTTGGTGGTGTTGGGGGGGTGGGAGGTGCTTACTCCAAGAGGGGAAACTATACCACCCATCCCAGCAGTTACTTAAGGCTCTAACAGGCTCTTTTTGGCTTTCAGCATTGGGACTCTGGTGGCTGGACACACCATCCACATTCAACTGGACCTCTACCCCATCAAAACTGGACCACGCCAGCTGCAAGTCCTCATCAGCAGCAATGAGATCAAGGAGATCAAGGGCTACAAGGACATCTTTGTTGCTGCAGCCAGGGTTTCTTCAGCCCCTCCCCGCCCCGCCCCACCCCGTACTCTCCCAACCACCCCCCTCCCGTCTCTCCCTGAGCCCAGCACCCTTCCTACTGCTCCCCTCTTCATCCCCTAGCCCCTTCCCTACCCCCCACTCCTGATACCCTTCCAGCCTTCTGGCAGCCCCACCTTGGTCTTTTCTGCTCCTGAAGGTGTAATGTTATCTTTGCCCCTTCTCTGTCCGGTTCCTGGCCTGCTTGGGGTGAATGAAGCACTATTAGAACCTCTGTGCATCTTGGGAAGAGACAATAAAGACCTCTTAATTTATCACCCGTGTTCTCTCTTCTGTGCTAAGAATCTACTTATTGCTGCTGGCTGGTCCCCTGGCCTGGCCCAATGTCAGATGCATTGGCTAGGCCCTCTCTGCTCTTCCTGTCTTCTCTCTCTCCTGCTTTAAGTCCCCACTCACAAAATAAGGCCAATATGATTCCCTTAAATCAGCCTCTCTGGAATTAAGGACCCCAGGTCTCTCCATTTAAATGGTCTTAGCCTGCAGATGGAAGCTGGAGGGAAGTCTGGGGAGGGCGGCCTGGGAAGACAGTGACTGTGCCACCAGGGGGACCAGCCAGAGATACCAAGCAGGACTTCTCTGCTGCCCCCTGAGAGCACAGGGATGGCTGGGCCAGTCCCACTCAAAGTCATTTGTGCTCATTCTAGATAATTTGGAAAGACCAGAAAGGTGAAAAGAAGCAAAAGAAAAATCACTTATAGTTCCTCATCCCAGAAGAAATCTCTGCTAACAGTTTGCCACATATCTTTTTGGCCTTCCTCCCACTATTCATTGTGCTTTTTTAAGTTATCATTAGGGGCGCCTGGCTGGCTCAGCTGGTAAAGCGTCTGACTCTTGATTTCAGTTCAGGTCATGATCTCATAGTTTGTGAGTTCAAGCCCCATGTCGGGCTGACAGCGTGGCACCTACTTGGGATTCTCTCTCTACATCTCTCTCTGCCCCTCCTCCCTCCAATTAAATAAATAAACTTAAAAAAATAAAGTTATCATTACCTGGCTATCATTAAAAGGTAAGAGATAATAAGTGTTGGTGAGGATATGGAGAAGAGGGAATCCTTGTGCATGTTGGTGGGAACGCAAACTGGTGCAGGCACTGTGGAAAACAGTATGGAGGTTCCTCAAAAAGTTAAATATAGAACTACCATATGTCCCAGCAATCCCACATCTGGGTATTTATCCAAAGGAAATAAAGTCACTATCCTGAGAAGAAACCTTCATTCCCGTGTTTGTTGCTGCATTATTGACAATAGCCAAGATATGGAAACAACCCCAGTGTCTGTCAGTGGATGAGTGGACAAAGATGTTCACACACACACACACACACACACACACACACACACACACACACAGAGAGAGAGATAGAGAGAGAGAGAGAGAGAGAGAGAGAGAAATATTATTCATCCATGAAAAAGAAAGGAAATCCTGCCCTTTGCTATACCATGGATGGACTTTGAGGGCATTATGCTAAGTGAGAGATAAGTCAGGGGACAACAGTACTTTATGATATCACTTATCTGTGGAGTCTAAAAAAGCTGAACTCCTAGAAACAGAGAGTAGATTGGTGGTAAGTGGGGCCTGGGGGTGAGGGAATTGGGGAGATGTTAGTCAAAGAGAAGAAACTTCCACTTGGTAGATAAATAAATTCTGGAGATCTAATGCACAGCATCATGATTATAGTTAATAATAGTGTATTTTATACTTCAAACTTACCAAGAGACCAGGTCTTAAATGTTCTCACTGCAAAAAAGAAATAACTGTGTCATGATGGAGGTATCAGTAACACTATGGTAGTAACATTACAACATACAAATGTATTAGATCAACAGGTTGTACACCTTAAGCTTACACAATAGTATATGCCAATTATATCTCAATTTAAAAAATTAAAATATGGTTATCATTATAAATTGGCATATTTGCATCATGGAAATTTTGGAAATTCCAGAAACACAGAAAAGGAGAGCATGCTCTTGCAGGTTTTCAGACGTGGGCCCTTTATCCTTGCCACTGCTCATCTGCTCAGTGGCTCTGCAGGTTCACTTGGCTTATCTCACCACCCTCTCCTCCTCCTCCTCCTCCTCCTCTCCCCTCTCCCCCCTCCCCTTCCCTCTCATCCTTCTCCTCTCTCTGTTTTTTAAAATTTATTTTGCTTTCGCAGGCTGCTTTGTGAAGGAAGGGCAGGAGCCTGCACACCCACCCTCCACCCTGTGTGCTGGCTGCTCTCGTCCCCACTGAGTGCCATTGGGCATTTCTGTGGGGCTCTGTCACTGCTTTGTCACTGCTGTGTTCCAGGTGGCTCCTTGCCCACCTGCCAGAGAAACTGAGCTGGCTCCTGCGGAAATCTGAAACCTTGCTCCACCTGCCAAGTGCCTGGGCCTCCTTTGTTTAGTCATTGCCCCTCCTGTCAGGTCAGCCTGGGGGCCTGGCAGTGTCACTTGTGTCGCTGGAGGGAAAGAGTGGACAGGCTTCCTACTGGGCCTTCAAGGGCCTTCCATAAGGGCATTAGCCATTTCTACCTTCCCAGTTGACCTTTCAAATTTTCCACTCTCCTTACACAAAAATTGGCTGTAAAAAGTGTACTCTGCAGTGTTGTCTTTTTCTTTCATGTAGGCAAGCCTGTCTGGCTTCGTTTCTCTACCTCAGCTGGACAAGCTAGACAATCTCAAAGTCCCTTCCAGCTTCAAAGGCCCTCAGGACCCAGGATGCTGGGGCTCATGCCCCCTGTTGCAGAGCGCCTTCAGATTAGGTCCTGGCAACCCTCCTTCACTGTCCTTGCCCTTCCCTTGTCTCATAAAACCCGGTGTGCTGGCCTCCCAGGCAGTGGGTGCCCACAGACAAACTCTGAAAGAAATGTCCCGGCTGTGCAGCAGGGGGCACAAAGCAGACCAGCTCCCAGGTCTCCTGATTGCTGGTCTTCCCCAACAATTCCCCTCCATGTTCATGTCCCCAGCAATTCCCCGTATGCTGCTCAGTGTCACTGTGTGATATAAAGCACAGAGCTCTGGGGCCAACTTCTAGGTCCCTCAGGTGCAAGACAATAGTAGCAGTGCCAGCCCCCAGAGGGTTACTGTGAGGATCAAATGAGAAAGTGTGTTCTAAAGGGCTTTGTAAATTGTGAAGTACATTCATGTGCAGAAGTCCCTGATTGGTTTAGTCACCCCTTCTGAGTGACTGTCTCCATTTCTGATCATAGAAAAGGAAGGAGGCAGGGGTGCCTGGGTGGCTCAGGCAGTTAAGTATCCGACTCTTGGTTTCAGCTCAGGTCATGATATCACGGTTTGTGAGTTCGAGCCCCGCATCGGGCTCTGCACTGTCAGTGCAGAGCCTGCTTCAGATTCTCTCTCTCCATGTCTGCCCCTCAGCTGCTCGCATTCTTGCTCTCTCTCTCTCTCTCTCTCAAAAATAAATAAATAAACATTAAAAAGAAAAGAAAAGGGAGGAAGCAGAGGAACCCACCTGGATCTGCCAATTCATGCTTCCCTTTGCTACTGTCTGGGGGGAATCTCCCATGGAGCCCATGGACCCTGATTTTACAGACAAGGAAACTGGAACATGGCTGAGGGCATACTGGGAATTCATGGCAGGGCCAAATGTTAGCATCCTAGTCTCTCTGAGTCTTAGAAAGGTCTGGAGGTACCCCACCCGCATCTTGGTAGAGCTGGTTCAGGGGGATGGCAGGTGAGCCCACACCTCCCTATTTGAGTGTCCCAGGATCTGCTCTGTGCCCTTCGCCTGCAGGTCACAGCCCTGCTTCCCTCCGAACAGGAAGGTGCCCATCAACTCTGCTGAGCTTCCCTGGCTCTCCTCTGCCTCCCTTACCCTAGACAAGCCGCTCTGACCAGAGTCGCCTCCCTCCCCCAGCACACACACAACACACACCTTCTGACTATGATTTGTAGGAATCAAATGAAAAGCTAAACCTATAAGCCAGCTCCTTAGCCCAGTGCCATGAAATAGGCTGCTGTTGTCGGATGGCCACTGGGCACCTTCCTCTTTGGCTACTTCACCTCTCCAGACCCACCCGCCCTCACTGCACTCACATTCCTGTTTCTCCTCACAATTAAGCTCTCCTGCCTATGCCTCCTCCTTCTCCCCAAGCTAACCCATTTCCACTAATGTGGCAGTGGGTTCAGGCACTTATCCATTTGTTCGTGTATGGATCATCTTTTAATTCATTCAATTGAACGGTCAACAAATATGAACTGGAAAACTGGCCATACTTCAGATACTGCATTAAGCATTTATGCACGACTTTGGAGTCTGACTTTTGTGTTCGAAATCTAGTTCCACTAGTTCTTAGTGATCTTAGGAAAACTATTTAGTATCTTTAAGGCTCGATTTCCTCACCTGTAATATAGGAACAATCATAGTACCTAACTCAGGGGAATGGCATGAAGATTAAGTGGGATGATGCACTGGAACTGAAAAGATGTCGCTAGTTCTTCCAGTAGTTTCACTATTAGCCATTATCATTAGTAAGCACTGGGGATAGATTAATAAGATATAGGCCATGCCTTCCAGGGGGATTGGTGGGGAAATAGGCTAAGTATTTATAACATGGAGTATGAGTAGGCTAATAGGGAATTAAAAGGGGGTGCCCCTAAATGCCTGGTATGCCTGGCATGGTGGAGAGGGGGTGTTAGGAAGACCTCCTGGAGGGGCAGCACTTGAGCCTGGATCTGAGAAAGGTGAGAACTGAGAGAAGGACATTTCAGAAATAGAGAGACTGGCAGGTGCAATAACAGGTGTAGGAAAGCAGATCTGCATCTGAGAACGGCAGGTATTTGGCCTGAATGGACTCCAGGCAGGAAGGAAAGATCCTGAAGAGATTTGTGGGCAATGTTGAGAAGCTTGGACTCGACCTACTGCTGGATTGTAAACCAGGAGCAACCTGGCTGAATTGGCACTTCAGAAACATCACTGTGATGGCTCATTTGGAAAAAGGACGGGTGGGAGACTGGTTAGGAGTTGTTGTCCAGGCCAGGGGGTGCTTCAGTGAAGGCAGGGCCAAGGGCCCAGGGAGAGTAGGCTAATTTTAGGAGATAATCAGGAGCTGGGCTGGCAGCAATCAGTGGCTGATGGGCTAAGGGAGGTCAGGAAGACAGAGAAATACGAGGTGGCACCCAGGTTTCTCCCAGAGTGACTGGATGGGCACTGTCCTCACTCGCCAAGACCAGAAATGCTGGAATGAAGGTGGGTGTGTGTGTGAAGTAGTGAATTGTATATGTGAATGGATACAAATACTGTAAGAGCAGACTGGGAACAAGGAGAGTAGAAAATACAGGAAGGAGGGCAGATGGTGGTGAGCGAGGTTCCTGAAGAGGGAGGTTAAGGGACCCAGAAAGCAGGGAATTCAGTGGAAGTTCCCACAGGAGGGAAAGGCAGGGTGGGGGCGGGGGCGGGGGGCCTTTAGGGTGTCCTGCCCACTCCCTGCTAAGTGCCCTTTCCCCTCCTTCCATCTGTCTCCACCCATCTGTGCTTTTCTCCCTACATGCTCACTCCCAGGACTTGTACTGTTTGTTCTTAATAGAACCAAGGACATCCACTGGCATTCCTACCTTCTTACTTATTTCCAGAACTCCTCCATGCATCTTCCCAAGTTTAGTTCCTCTACTCCTTTTATTTGAGATTCGCCTTCACCTGGCCAGTCTCACCCAACACAATAGCTCTGCCCCAAAAACTAATACCAAAAAAATCATACCAAGGGTGATCCAGAGTGGGTTCTCTTTGCATTTGACATCTAGAAAGTGGCCCTTCAGGATAAAAGCCAGCCAGAGTTCTAGGCTTGAGAGGCTCTCCCAGCTGTGAGCTGTAGTCTTGGGACCCTGGTACTCTTTCCTGTAGGGGCACAGCCCCTTGCATCCCCAGAGAGGCCATCAGCTCACCTCTCCCACCTGGCTCCCCCACTATAGTACAACACCTGCCATGGAATGCTTCATTGCCCAAGAGCTATCAAATGCTCACATGGCATAAGGCCCTGAGAGTTCATTGGCTTCCACACTTCTTCCCAGCTGAGCAACACTGCCAAGAAAAACCTGAGGGCAAGTGAGAAAACCAGTTGTGATCTGCCCAGTAAGCAGGTGGCAGTGCAGCAGCCACCCTGCCTTCGGTGTCTCTTGGAGTCTTAAAGATGGAAGGGGGAACAAACGTACCAGGACCAGTTTCCTGAAGCTCCAAGCCGCCCAGCTGTTCTGTGAAGAGTGGCCCAGGAACCAGAGACAGCGGCCATGGAGCAAGGTAGGGGAGGCCCCCTGGGGCTGCAGGACCTAAGGAAGAAGGAAGACAGAGAGACTGTAGGAAGTCAAGGGGAGAATGGATTCAGAGGAAGAAAGGAGTAAATAAAGAACTGAGGCTGAAAGAACCCAGAAATTTCAGAATTTGTTGATAGTCAGAGACCCACGAAACGAGGTGGAGGCCGGCTGGTAAACATAGCCAAACAGCTGTGTACCAGCACGCCTGCTTCCATAGCCCAGTGGGATGGGGCAGGGCCAGGGATTAGTGGGTCAGGGAGCCTGTCCTCTGCCACTTGCTGATGCCTTAACATTTAGCAAGTCACTTCTCTAGTTCCCAGCCCCATGCCTGAAACGTGAGGGGGCGGGGTGGACAGGATGAACTTGAAGTTTTCTTCTGGCTCTGAAATTCTCTGCATCTTCAAACCTTCTCTTTTTCCCCACTTCAGAAAGTCTGTTCCTCATTTCAGCTAATCTGTTCTGTCTATATTTCCTCTCTAGAAAGCTGCTTTGACGATTAGTTCGTTAGTTAAAACCATTTCTAAAAATGAGCTCAAATATCTACATATTTAACAGCTTCACCTTCACTTACTCTTTTTGTTTAAATTTTTATAATTTTGGGGGTGCTTGGGTGGCTCAGTTGCTTAACCATCTGACTCCTGATTTTGGCTCAAGTCATGATCTCACGGTTTGTGAGATACAGCCCTGAGAGTAGGGCCCTGTGCTGACAGCACAGAGCCTGCTTGGGATTCTCTCTCTTCCTCTCTCTCTCTCTCTCTCCCTCTCTCTGTCTCTCTCTTTCTCTCTCTCTCTTTCTGCCCTGCCCTGCTCACTCTCTCTCAAAAATAAATAAATATTGGGGCGCCTGGGTGGCTCAGTCAGTTGAGCATCCGACTTCAGCTCAGGTCATGATCTCGCGGTCCGTGAGTTCAAGCCCCGCATCGGGCTCTGTGCTGACAGCTCAGAGCCTGGAGCCTGTTTCAGATTCTGTGTCTCCCTCTCTCTCTCTGACCCTCCCCCGTTCATGCTCTGTCTCTCTCTGTCTCAAAAATAAATAAATGTTAAAAAAATTAAAAATAAAAATAAATAAATATTTAAAAATTTAAAAATGATTTTTATCTACACAAGAAATATATGGATATGCAGTTGAAGTAAAATAAGACAATAATTACAGATAAAGTTACAGTCCCTTGACCACCACCACCAACCCCCAGCCTCATCTCCAGAGAGGCCACTGTGGTCATATCTAAGAGAAATCATGGTTTCTAGTCTTTTGTCTACATATTTATATTTGTGTGTGCGTGTGTGTGTGTGTGTGTGTGTATGTATAAGATCAGTACATATGTAAAATTATATATATATATATATATATATATATATATATGACTAGCTTTTTTGGTATAAATATCATAAATATCATGGTATAATCACGTTGTACATATTTTTCTACAACTTGATTTTTTTTTCACTCAACAGTATGTGGTTGGAGCTCTACCCATGCCAATTAGTACCTTTAAATCTACCTCAAAAATTTCCACTTTGCATAGTACTCCATAGTATGGGTGTAAGTAATTTATTTATCCATCCCATTTTGATGGGCATTTAGGTTGTTTCCCATTTTCCAGTTATATAAGCAATGCTGCAGGGCACATTCTTATGTATGCCTCTGTACTCATGTGGGAGTGTCTCTCTAGGATTGATACTGAGATCAATTACTTTGAAGATTCTACCTATAATTTCCTTTCTATTTCTTTGATCATTTTACTCCCCTTCATCCCTTCACATCAAGGAGAACAAATATGCCCAATAGTAAATGTACTTCCTATTTTTTTTTTCAACGTTTATTTATTTTTGGGACAGAGAGAGACAGGGAGGGGCAGAGAGAGAGGGAGACACAGAATCGGAAACAGGCTCCAGGCTCTGAGCCATCAGCCCAGAGCCCGACGCGGGGCTCGAACTCACGGACCGCGAGATCGTGACCTGGCTGAAGTCGGACGCTTAACCGACTGCGCCACCCAGGCGCCCCTGTACTTCCTATTTGAAAGTCTGGTGTGTGGGGTGAAGAATAATCCCAGCATTATACGCAGAAGTTAACTTGACCCATGATGTATCCAGAGGATGAGATTTGGCCTCAGTGCTGGCTCTCAGGCAGATGTTGCCATACCTAGTGAGGAGTCTAAGTCATGAGCCCAACCTGAATTGGAGCCAGTAAATGATCTGTGTAGTCAGCTGGTCTCCAAAAGGGATGAGCTTCTTTTTCTACTACGAGGGGAAAGCCAGGTGCTCTCCCAGCTATCAATAGGCTGGTTCCTTTCTGAAGACCAGCAATGGCAGCAACTGTTGAGTAATGGAAAGAACACGGGACTTAGGCCAGTAACCCTAGGTTCAGCCTTAGAAAAGACATTTAATCTGCCTGAACCTTGTTTCCCATCTCCAAGTGTGAATGACATGACATTTCATCCCTCCAACATTGTGGTGAGGACTCAATGAGATAGAGTGTCTACGATGGTGCCCAGCACATAGCAGACAAGCCTTTAGTGAGGTGTTGGTTGAATTTGAAATAAGTGCAGAGTGATTATGGAAAAGATAGAAAACTCTATTCAAACTAGCAAACATCTTTTGGTACCTACAATGTGCTGATCATTATGCTTACATTTCTTTCATAAGAAACCCCATACCCAGGGTACCTGGGTGGCTCAGTCAGTTGAGCATCCGACGTCTGCTCAGGTCATGATCTCGCGGTTCGTGCGTTCGAGCCCTGCATTGGGCTCTGGCTGACAGCTCAGAGCCTGGAGGCTGCTTCAGAATCTGTGACTCCCGCTCTCTCTGCCCCTCCCCTGCTTGTGCTCTGTCTCTGTCACTCAAAAAATAAATAAATGTTTAAAAGATTAAAAAAAAAGTAGAACCCCCATACCCTGTAGCAGTCATACCCCATTTTCTCCTACTTCCAGCCCCTGGCAAACCCTAATCCACCATCTGTCTCTATGGGTTTACCCATTCTGAATATTTCATATAAATTGGATTATATAGGGCAACTGGGTGGCTCCATAGGTTAAGCATCTGACTCTTGATCAGGTCATGATCTCACAGTCCTTAAGTTTGAGCCCTGCATCAGGCTCTGTGCTGACAGCACAGAACCTGTTTGGGATTCTGTCTCTCCCTCTCTCTTCCTCTCTCTCTCAAAATAAGTAAATAAACTTAAAGTGAATCATATAATATGTAACCTTTTGTATCTGGCTCCTTACACTAAGCATAATATTTTCAAGTTTCATCTATATTATACTGTATTCAGCATTCCTTTATGTGGCTGAATAACATTCCACTTTACAGATATACCACACTCGTTCATCCAATATCCAGATAGTGGTCAATAACCAGATGGTTGTTTCCATCTTTTGGCCATTATGAATAGTGCTGCTATCAACATTCATGTACAGGTTTTGTGTGAACAAATGTTTTCAAATTCTCAGGTCCATACCTAGGAGTGGAGTTGCTGGATCATATGGTAACTCTATTTTTGACATTTTGAGGAACTGCCATACTGTTTTCCAAAGTGGCCATACCATTTTACAATCCTATCAGCAATGTATAAGCGTTCCAATTTCTCCACATCCTCCCCAACACTGGTTATTTTCCGTCTTTCTTATTAGAGCCATTCTAGTGCATGTGGAGTGGTATTTCATTTGCATTTCCCTAATGATTAATGATGTTTAACATTTTTTCATTTGCTTATTGGCCTTTGCATATTTTTTTGGAGAAATGTCTATTCAGATCAATTGCCCATTTTTTATTTGTGTTATTTTTTTAATCATTGGGTTGTACACATTCTTTATATATTCTTGATACAAATACCTTATCAGATATATGATTTATAAATACTTTCTCTCATTTTGTAGTTGTCTTTTCACTTTATTGATGATATCCTTGAAGCAAAAAATTTTTAATTTTGATGAAGTCCAATTTATAGGGTTGTTTATTTTGTTGCTTGTGCTTCTATTGTCTTATCTAAGAAACCATTTCCAAGTCCAAGATAATGAAAATTTACTCCTATGTTTTCTTCTAAATGTTTTATGGTTTTAGCTCTTACATTTAAGTCTTAGATTAATTTAGAGTTTATTATTGTATATGGTGTAAGGGAGGGTTAAAACTTCATTCATTGCAAGTGTATAGAAATATAATTAATTTTTGTATATACATATTGTATTCTACAACCTTGATGAATTTATCTGCTAGTTATAATTTTGTGTGTGGATTTGTTAGGATTTGCTATATTCAAGATCATGTCATACATTAATAAAGACAATTTTACTTATTTCCAATGTGTACTGGCTAGAATCTCTAGTACAATGCTGAAGAGAGAAGATACCCTAGTCTTGTTCCTAATCTTAGGGAGAAAAGTATCTAGTATTTCATTATTAAATATGGTTTTGACTGTGGATTTTTCATAGATACTCTTTATCGGTTTCAGCTAGTTTACTTCCTTTCTTAGAGGTAATTTACTTGTTGGGTGTTTTTTATTATGAGAAGATGTTGGATTTGTCAAATGTTTTGTTTTGTATTTCTTATAATCTAGAATACAGCTGAGACAAAACAGCTAGGCCTGTATCCTCATTGGCTTACATATTGTGGTAGAAGGCAAACAAATGAAAAAGTAACTACAAAAATATCTGAATATTTCTTGCTGATCCTGAAATTACTGGCTCCCAGTAGAAGTTTGTTGATAAAAATGAACAATTGAGCATGATATTAACTCAATGGAGCAATTAAGTTTCACTATAAGTGATGCAGTTAAGTACTGTAGGCCAGTGGGAGATGGAAAGAAGGGTGGGTCAGCTCAGGCAGGCTTCAAGAAAGAGGTGGGTCTTCAACAGGCCTTGGAGGACAGGTAGAATTTGGTTAGATTTTGTTAGGACAGACGGAATGAGAGGGCACTCTAAGTTGGGGTTACAGCAGGATCAAAATACGTGGACAGGTAGGGCTACCATTTGCTTGGGAACAGATTGGTTGGAGGAGAGGGCCTATGCTTGAGGTGTTGAGAAGCAAGAATGCAAGTAACTGAAGGCCAGGTGTGGAGGGTCGTAAGTGTCAGGTTAAGGAGTGTGCCTTTTGTATGGTAGGCTGTAGGGTATCTCAGAACTTTTAAAGCAAAAGGATGGCATGATTAAATTGTCTTGAGGAAAGATAATCTGGTGATGTGTTAGAAGAGGATGGTGTAGGAAGCAGGACACCTAATGGAAGTGGTTATGGCCACTAGGGGTAAAGTGAGGAGGTCAGAATTATGCAAATGTGGAAAGGGTCAAGTGGACACCAGAGATGTTTTCACGGAATGAAGGGATGTGTCCACATATGGATGGAAAAAGACCAAGAAAGAGATGGGTGAGCCAAGTGTGACTTAAAGGTTGTGAGCCCAGATGCCTGGAGACCACTGTAGGACCATGGCCAAACATGGAGAAGTCAGAAATGGAGCCCTTCTTGGGGAGACACACTTGGAGAGTAGTGAGATCAATCTGTGTTTTATCAGAGGCTCCAGAAGGCTGGGAGTGGGACTTTCTTTGACTATCCTCAGCATCCCAGCTCCCAGGGCATTAGGCATGTGACATTAGTGGTGGTCAGGGAGCCAGCAAATTGCTGAAAGCATAGTAGTTAACTACCAGACCTGGAGGCTGGCACAGGGGCAAGTGACATTGTTAACTTGAGTCTAAAAACTGGATGCTGGGGTGAATCTGGAGACATGCTAGGCTGAAGGGAGCAATCAAACTTGGCCAGGACTATGAAAGAGGTTGGACAGAGGCAGAAATCCATGTACCTCTGGAGGGCATAAAAGGGGAAGGGGATAGAGGGTTATAAAAGCAAGAAAGGGAAGGAAGAAGGAAGTAACAAAGAGGCAGTTGCAGGCATGAAGCCTCATTTAATCCTCATACCAATGCTGTAACACTGGTATTATGGATTCTGTTTTACTAACTTGGAAACTGAGGCTCAGAGAGGCTAAGTTTCTTTCTCAAGTTTGTACAACTAAACAGTGGTGGGCAAGATTGGACCAGACTCTACAGCCCTGCTCTTTCATATGCCCCTGGCTGCCCTGTTGCAGGGCTGGAGGTGGCCCTCACAGACCTCCAGAGCTCCTGGAACAACGTGCGGCACCACACAGAGGAGATCAGCTCTGACCGACTCCTGGTTCGCCGGGGCCAGGCCTTCAACATCACTCTGTACTTCAGGAAGCGGGGCTTCCAGCCAGGCCTGGACAATATCATCTTTGTGGCTGAGACTGGTGAGGACCCCTGAGGGCTGTGTGTGTGTGTGTGTGTGTGTGTGTGTGTGTGTGTAGGAAGAATCTGGAGGGTTGAGAGTTTACTGCATAGAGCCTGAGTTCTGCTTCCCTCTCAGGACCCCTACCAGACTTGTCCAATGGGACTCGAGCCCTGTTCAGCCTGGCAGGTCATCATGGTCCCAGCCCATGGATTGCCTCTCTGGAGACCAATGGGGCCAGCTCCCTGGAGGTGAGCCTGTGTGCCCCTCCCACAGCAGCCGTGGGTCGGTATCTCTTGAAAGTTCATATTGACTGTTTCCAGAAGTCTGTCACAGCCTACCAGCTTGGGGAGTTCATCCTGCTCTTCAATCCCTGGTGCCCAGGTAAGGTGGGGTGTCTGTGTGTGGGTCCCTTGTCTCTGCCCCTTTGTCAGTGCCACAGAGAGCCAGGCTCAAGGATTTCTAGACCCCTGTTCCCTGACTACCAGAAACCTCCCAGTTGTATGCACTCACCATCTACTCCCAAGCACCAGAAACAAGGCAGGAAGAACTTGCTATTTACTTATTTAGAATTTTAAAAACATGAGCAAACTCATCTTTACTTAAAAAGAAACTATTGAGGGGCACCTGAGTGGCTCAGTCAGTTAAGTGTCTGACTTTGGCTCAGGTCATGATCTCATGGTTCATGGGTTCAAGCCCTGTTTTGGGCTCTGTACTGACAGCTCGGAGCCTGGAATCTGCTTCAGATTCTGTGTTTCTCTCTCTGCCCTCCCCCCATTCATGCTCTGTCTCTGTCTTTCTCAAAAATAAGTAACATCAAAAAAAAGAAAGAAAGAAAGCTATTGGGACACCTGGGTGGCTCAGTTGGTTAAGTGTCTGATTCTTGGTTTCGGCTTAGGTCATTATCTTATGGTTTGTGAGTTTGAGCCCCGTGTTATCAGTGCAGAGCTCACTTGGGATTCTCTCTCTCTCCTCTTTCTGCTCCTCCCCTGCTCATTCTCTCTCTCTCTCTCAAGTAAAAAAAAAAAATGTTTATTTATTTTTGAGAGAGAGATAGAGTACAAGCAGGGGAAGGGCAGAAAGCTGTCAGTGCAAAGCCCGACATGGGGCTTGAACTCATGCACCATGAGATCATGACCTGAACCAAAGTTGGACACTTAACCAACTGAGCCACCCAGGCACCCCAATAAAATAAACTTTTGAAAAGAAGACTAATATAATTAACTTTGACCACTATTAACATCTACCTTTACCACACATTTTAAAATTAACTTGAGTCTTTTCATTCTAAGAATAAGAAGTGTATTGCATTGAATATTTGTGGAATGAAGTAAAGAAAAGAAAGAAGAAAGAAAGAAAAAGAATGAAGGAAAGGAAGGAACAAAGGAACGAAGGAAGGAATGAAGGAGAGAAAGAAAAAATGAAAGAAAGAGGAAGGGAGGGAGGAAGGAAAGTATAAAATGAAAAGTAAGACCTTATCCCAAACTCCAAGTTCCATCTTCCAGAGGAAAATTCTGTTAGCATTTTCTTGTGTAGTCTTACAAAACTGTTCCATGCTTAATCAAATACATATTTATGCATATATACATATGTGTGTGATTATACAGTTGTACCACAAGTGGGATTATATAGTACATAGCATACTTTAACTTGCTTTTTTTATTCAACAATTCAACTTTGAATATATTTTCCTATCAATATGTTCTTTTTAATGGCTACAATTACTCCATTGTTTGGACCACCAAATGTTTTTAACTAGTCTCCTATATATGGGTATCTTGGCTGTTTCCAGTGTTTGTCTTAGACAAAGATATATGGAATATCCCAGTACCACCTGTCCTACGATCCCTGTAATCTAAATCCACCTGAGGGCAGAGTAGTTATACAGACATACAGACATGGTATGGGCAGAATGAAGGACAAGTCAGGAGAAGAGAGTGGGAAGAAGGGCAGGAAGAGTTGAGAGTTGAGAATGTGTCTGGTAGGCTTTGGAGCAGAGGCCAGACTCAACAGTCCTATTCTAGTTGGAGGATATCCTCTCTCCTTCCTCCCTCTCATTCTACCTGCTCCTCCAACCTTATTCTAAGGGGGCTAGGTGAGTCATACCAGAACCTGGCTGGGATCTAGCATCTCTAACCACCTCCTACTGCCCTGTCATTGAGTGGCCCAGAGCTCTTACCCATTAGCCGTATGAAAACGCTCCACCACTGGGTCAAGGAGGACAGTTGTCTATCTGTCTCTATCTCTCTTGTATACACACACACACACACACACACACACACACACACACGTCCTGGCCTCCAAGACTGTGGGTTTCAGACTTGTACTTAGGCCTCTCCTGAACTGTGAGGAGGAAAGTAATCACTGTTGGGCCTTTTTTTTTTTTTTTTTTTTTTTTAAAGCTGTGCCCCATCCAGGTCCCAGAAGACTCAATATGGGGCTAGGGATTGGTAGGCCCTGAAGACAGGATCAGTGGCTACCCCATCACCATGTCCAAGATATTGGCTAGGGACCCCCACCCTGCAGTGCTGGCCACTGCTAGCCCCTGCTGTGAGGAGAATATGTGTGGTCTCAAACATGAACCTGCAGATCTGGTCACACTGGTGCAAGACCTCATTAAAATGGATCTTCTCTAGGAGTCTGACTCTACCAGAGTCCATGCAGGCTGAGTCTGAGGCTGCCTCTGAGGAATTGAGGAGAGTACTTTTACCTACAAGTTAGGTGGGCCTTCCAGATTTTCTAGGACACTGCAAAGAGGACACCTACTCCCATGGCCTTTATTTGTTCATTCTCAACTTAAAAAAAATTTTTTTTATATCGTGAAAGCAATATGTGCTCATTCCAAAAAATCTAGAGAATACCAACAGGCAAAAAGAAAAAAAAATTACTATCAACATCTTTTAGAATAGTCTTCAAAATCCTTGGTATAAATATGTTTTAAACAAATGTCAATTCATGCTGTAACATTATCATGTAACCCATTTAAAACTTAACATATCACGTGTAGATTTCGATGCCTATATGTACAATTTTGTAATCTTACATTAATCATGTATGTACAGAATTCTGTGGTGGACATGGCTATTTAACAAGCTCCCAGAACAGGCACTTAGGTTGTTTCCAGCTTTTCAGTGTTACAAACAGTACTCAAATAAACAGCTTAGCATCCACATCTCTGTGTACTTCCTAAATGCTGTCCTTAGGTTAAATTCCTATAAAAGGCATGAGGAGGTTAATGCCAACCCCTAAATTCTGGTTTGCTCTTTTCCAGTCAGGTTTAGTTGAATGTAGCAGAAAAATCATGGAATATGGTGACATATGGACTCTGTTCAAATTTCACTCTGTGTTTACATGTGATTTGGACAAGTTACTTATCACTCTGAGCCTGTTCCCTCCACCCTTAATTAGGTCAGGATGTAAATGTGCTTTGAAAACCAAGAAATTCCACTGAAGGTAAATTTTCACTATTCAACCTCATGTTCGTATTGAACCTGCTGCTGGTGCTGAGGGATTGTAGAAGGTGGGTCTCTCCAAGAAACCTCCTCTTCTGCCCCTTTTGGTGACACCCAGTGCCATCCCCAGTTCCATAGGACTTTGCCTCAGTTTCCATAGGACTTTGCCTTCTGGGGATGGGAATGAGGTAGGAAGGGAACGATAACTTTTTTGCTTTGTGTCCTGCCACTTTGATTCCTAGGGGATTCTGTCTACTTGGACAGTGAGCCCCAGAGGCAGGAGTATGTCGTGAATGATTACGGCTTCATTTACCAAGGGAACAAGAATTGGATCCGCCCGTGTCCCTGGAACTATGGACAGGTGAGTCTCAGCCCTATTCATAGCCCATCCAGGCCCTGGGCTTGTGGGAAGTGGGGAGCAGGAGCAAGGTGGGTGGGTTCTTCTCATGCAGAACGGACAAATGGTAACATCGAAGTGTGAGATGACACTCCAGGGAGCTAAATGAGTCGGAGGATATTCTTTGCTGATCATGTCTGATTTGAACATCAGGATCTAAGGGGGAAGAACAGCTAAAGGCACCCACCAGGGAGTTCCATTGACCATGATGATGAGGACAAAGGGACAATAATGAGGATGGCCATGGCAGTGCCTGGTTGTTGTTTGTTAAACTGTTTCCAGTTGGGCCCCATTTGCCTCTCCCACTTCATCTTCATTATCTAGACCACAGACCCTAGAATCAGTTCCGTCACACTGAGGAAACTTGTCCCTGAACATCTCAGCCAAAAGCAATGTTAACGAGCAGTGATGTACTTCCTTCCCGGTTACTATTGCATCTTTGTTTGTTTTGATTAGATACCTTTTCCTTTTTTTTTAAGATTTTTTAAAAAGTTTATTTTTGAGAGAGAGTGAGCACACATGAGCAGAGGAGGGGGAGACAGAGGGAGACAGAGGATCCAAAACTGGCTCCTCACTGACAGCAGTGAGCCTGATGTGGGGCTCAAACCCACAAACTGTGAGACAGTGACCTGAGCTGAAGTCGGGCACTTAACCGACTGAGCCACCCAGACGCCCCAATATCCTTTTCATTATAAAAGTAATACACAGCTGTTTTAAAAACTTTACAAGGAAACGTTACAAAAATGGGTACTTAGGGGCATCTATGTGGCTCAGTTGGTTAAGTATCTGACTTCGGCTCAGCTCATGATCTTGTGGTTCATGTGTTCAAGCCTCATGTTGAGCTCTGTGCTGAAACTCAGGGCTTAGAGCCTATTTCAGATTCTGTGTCTCCCTCTCTCTCTGCCCCCTCCTTGCTCATGCTCTGTCTCTCTCTGTCTCAAAAATAAATAAACATTAAAAAAATTAAAAAATGGGTACTTAGAACACAAAGGACATGCTAAGCACCAGAGTGGTGTATGTTCCTCCATGTTTTGTTTCTTCTGCATATTCTAAAACGTGATTGTATTTGTAAAAATGGCATCATATTAATCAGAATGTGTTGCAACTCCTGCCTTATTGCAAGGCCTGCCTCCCACATAAAGCTCAGCCTACAACAGGTGCTCCAGGAAGTCCAGGGCCAGGCCAGGGAAGAGGGTTCTTAAGACTGGGATCCGGCACCACAACACTGTTGGAGGAAGACTAGTCTTGGCTACCGGATGGCTGTTGGCTGGGAAATCCTTTGTGGAGCCTTGTGTCTGTTTGATATGAGTCCCTCTCCTGGACTTGCCCAAATAGAACTCCAACACATGTGGTCTCAGGCACAGCGTAGGCCTCCTGAGGTGGCTATTTTCAAGATGAGACGTGGCAGCCTCAACTGGCACCAATTGACCTCCCCAACCCCTCACTCAGCACAGGCAAATGAGGATCCAGAGAGGCCCTGTAGACAGGAACCTACCATCATCTGTGAGCAACAGAAGTGAGAAATTGCTTTTTCTTGAGCCCTGGCTCCTTCCCTTTCTTCCTGTCTCTTATTCAGTGAACTTACATCGAATGCCTGCTGAATATCAGGCAGAGTACAAGATGTTAGGGATATGAAAATGAATTGAATGCTGTCCCTGAGCTCATAGTATAGTGGGGACTCAGTCACATAAGCAGGTTACTTACCATGCAGTGGGATATGCAAAGACTGAGATGGGCACAGGATGTTCTGAGAGCCCGGAGGAGGAGCACTTGGTTGGGAATGGAGTCATCGGGGAAGCTTCCTAGAAAAGGAGATGCTTGAACTGAATTATCCAAGTGAAGAAAGGTGGGGAAAATACCCCAGGCAGAGCGAAACATGAGCAAAAACACAAAGGTGAGAAACAGTTTGGTCTGCTGCAAGGGTTACAAGGAATCTGGTAATGCTGGAGCAAAATGATGAAGCAGGAGGAATTGAGACATGAGGCTGGAGAGGTACAAGGGGCCAGATCAGAGAGGGTCTTATGTGGCTGTTAGGGGAGGTTAGAGTTTTGATTCTGAAGGTCTAGAGGCCTCTGAACATTTTAAAGCAGAAAAGTGAACTGATTAAACTCTCCCTTGGGGAAGATAGGTCAGAGAAAGTTCCTAAATCCTGTTTATTGTCCAGTGGGAATATTACATGGGGACAAATGCATTCATTTACTCTCATTCAACCAAGATGCATGGAGTCCTTACTATGTGCTGGGCACTGTGCCAGGTCTGGGGCATACAGTTACAAGGACAGCTGGAGACAGACAGAGTATATGCTCAGGCAAGCAAGACAGAGCTTGGCTCCATCATTATAACTGACATTAAAGGCTCAGGGTCAGGGAAGGCCTCAGATAAAATGTCATTCACACCAAGCCCGAAGGACAAGTCAGCCTGCTTTGGGTGGGAAGCTTCCATAACTCACACACTATTAGTCATTCCAGAGCCTGACTGAGTCACAGGTACCATGGCTAGTTCATGCCAGTACCTCAACAGTAGCTGCCAATGGTGAGTTGGGGTAGCAAGTGGAGGTAGAAGATGAGGCAACGTGGTTTTAGCAAGAACATCCCATAGGCTCCAGGAGTGAGAGGAGAAGAGGGAGAAACTGACTTTTTAGCCAGTCAGACTCATTGGAAAGAACCCCAGCCATTTGATCTGTAGGACATACAAACTGGGTGAGTTGTGATACCAGAGCTCAGAGATCCTGCACCTGCTTAGGAGGCAGTTTATGTCTGTGCTACTGGACACAGTTACCTTACAAATGGGATCATATTCCGCAAACCACTCCATTGGAGAGTTGGGTGGGATGGGTCATGAATTTCTTGTCATATCTACATGTGCCAATCATGGGAGCCTTGCTTCTCTGCATCTCTCTTATAGTTTGAAGAGAATATCATAGACATCTGCCTGGAGCTACTAGACAAGAGTCTGAACTTCCAGATTGATCCAGCTACAGACTGTGCCCTGCGGGGAAGCCCCGTCTACATCAGCAGAGTGGTGTGTGCCATGGTGAGATTGGTCTGGCTCTGCCCACCCAGGGTATGTCTAGGGAGGGAGGAAGCTGTGTGTGTTGGGGGGGGTGCCCCCTGACAGTTGTCTCCTGCAATGGGGGTGGGGTGAAGAGTCGAGAGCAGGAACCCTCTGGCAAAGCCAGTTTGGATGAGGCTAATGAAAAAATATGGGTAACAGGTTTTCTCAGCTGAATTCCGAAATAGCTGGGTGTGGGCCATTACCTTCATTAATTCCAAATTAATGTTTCAGGAAAGGCTGAGTATAACTTTGGTTTAGGAACTGATCTTTTTTTTTTTTTTTCGAAATTTCCTTTGCTCTGAGGTATTTTTAAGAGCTCTTGGAGCCAACCTCTAGCTTTGCAGGGGGTAGTAGAAATAGAATGATCAACTAATTAACAGTAGAGACAAGTCAGAATGGCCAGTTTCCTACCCCCACCACTTCCCTAGCAGATCTGGAAATTCCCAGGTAAAACCAGTTCGAAGAGTCCTTTGTGTCTCAGGCCCACAGACCTTGCAAAGCAGCCCACACATCGCATCTTGCTAAGCAAAAGAATGCTTCTAATGGTTCTATATATGGTGTCTCTTCAGATCAACAGCAACGATGACAATGGGGTGCTTAATGGAAACTGGAGTGAGAGTTATTTAGATGGCATCAACCCTGCAGAGTGGACCGGCAGTGTGGCCATCCTGAAACAGTGGCATGCCACAGGCTGCCAGCCAGTGCGCTATGGGCAGTGCTGGGTCTTTGCTGCCATCATGTGCACAGGTAGGGAGAGGAAAGGGCGACATGAAGAGAACAAGTAATGTACTGGCTCATGTCTTAGACCTCTGAACCATTCTTGTCCCAGTCTTGCACAGTTCCCACTAGAGAAATGTTTGGAAGGAAGCCCCTCTGTAAAAATGTCTTCTCACTGACCCCGGCTTCATGTATCTGGACTTATTTCAGAGGATGGTTCTGAGGCAGAAATTAAACACTTTCCTGTCCTTTCTCTTCCTCTGAGTTTGGACAACCTAGGAGCCTGGCTGGAAATTGTTTGGTCCAAGACAGGAATGAGATGAAAAGCCAAGTATTTAGAAAGCTTACAAACTGATTAGTGCCCTTTCTGAGCACAGAGAGTGGTCTTGACATGGGAGGGAAATGTATATCGAGTGGTAGTATGGGCCATGGGGCCAGGGAAAGATGGCAGTTGACATAAAATGACCTTGAATTTGGAGTTGTCTCATGCTCAGTAGGCCTGGAGGCCTGACTCAGGTCAGAGAGGTAGGGGATGGAAGAAAACAGGAGATCAGCTTTTTTCTGATAGGAAGTGGATGCTACACTAGTAGAAGGAAAGCTAAAAAAATATGTATGGGAAAAAGAAGGCAAATGGAAGTTGATTTGCAGATAGCAGGAGGAGCAAGCAGAAGAAAGGGGTGGCTGTGAATCTTGAGGCAAGTGACACCTAGAAATGAGTCACATATAGAGACAGCAGGAGGAGGCCTTCTGCTTCACCCAGGGTCCAGCTTGCTATTGGCTCTCACCCTCACCCTGACCCCCATACCTAGGCTGCTCTCAGCCTCCAGGCATGCATATCTGTATATCTGACTTGGGTTACAGTCAGGAAGTTCTTATTCTTCTTAGTTAGGGAAAGAGGCCAGTAGCAGCTTTCACTCACAGGAGTCTCTAGTCCATTCCAGGGAGACCAGATCTGCCACAGCTTCACGTTTATTGCAGACTCAGGCCTTTCATGTAGAAATTCCCTGTATGACAAAGCCTGGTGCAGTCTGTGTGCTTGTATGTGCTGAGCCCATCTCTGAGCTCTTGGAGGAAGCCTAGAGACAGCCCGGCTGTTGAGCTGCCGAGGAGAGAGCACCAGGGCTCTGTCCAAGGGCACAAGGAGGTTTCTGTCAATACCCACAGAGGATGACTTCAAATAGGTTGGTGAGGAACTCTTCCTCCTTTTCAAGTGCAGGGCCCCATCTTGAGTTGGAGGCTCTGATTGCCCAGGGACAAGAAACTAGGAATTCAACAGCTTTGATACCCAGAGCCACAGAGATATGGGTGACCTGGGATGTCTGAGTCATCCAGGGAGCAGGCACAGGACTAGTAGGCAGAGAACAGATCAGTCTTGTGCATGTTGGAGAGGGAACCTTCCTTTGTGTGGAAAAGCCTAAAGACTAATGGGCCAAGTGTGCATGTAGAGAGGGAGAGGACCAGGGTTTTGGGTGTGGTTGTCTGGAACCGGGCAATGAGAGGGGTGGAGCCAGTGAATGAAGATTGTGTAATGAGAGCAGACCAATTAAAATGTTTATGAGAATCATGGCCGCTTTGTGACCTGGGAAGCAAAGGGCTGGGCAAAGTGGGTCAAATGTGGCTTGATCCAACTATAGCTCAGGCAACAGCAGCTTTCCCCCAAAGGGCCACCATGGTGTATATTAATAAGCATATCTGTTTGAAAACTCATTTATTCATCCAGCCACTTATTGAGTCCTTATTCTAAGCTAGGCACTGTGCTTTAAGTATTCTTAGGTACAAAAATAGGTAAGACCCAACCTCTATCCTCCGCTAAAAGTTAAGGGTTTATCAAATTCCTTAGCCCAACAGAGCTACCAAAGCACATTTATTAGTAATATTGTTTTTATTTCACAATCACTATAGCTGATGTGCATTGCAGACTTCTTTTGTGCCAGGCACTGTGCATTGGGGACTTCTTTTGTGCCAAGCACTGTGTTAAAATCTTGACAACCTAGAATAATAGTGAGGCATGTGGACTCTGGAAGTAGACTGCTTTCAAATACCAACACTACCATCAAATGGCTGACTAGCCTTGGGCTAGTGCCTCAGACTTATGATGGGAGAAAGTAATAATACCTACTGAATAGGGTTATTGAAGGACTGAGGTATGTGGAATGTGCTAAGAATTAATAGTGCCTGGCTACAGTGAATGTTCAGTAAGCATCAGCTAGGGTCACCTCATTTGATACCCTCAAATGACTATATGGGGTAGGTTCTATCATCATCATCATCTCCACTTTGCAGATGGGGAAATGGAGCAGTAGAGTCTCACATCCAGGTCTGGTATGCTGTAACCACTAGGAGATACTAATACATACATATTGCTAGCAACTGCCACTTACCCAGCATCCTCTGCACTTCAGGCATATGCCAGGCACTTTTACTCTTTCTATCCTCACAACCGCCTGCAAAGTAGATATCATTACCATTATTTTACAGATGAGAAAACTGAGGCTTACAGTGAACAAGTGACTCTTGTCTGACTCAGAAATGCATTCCCCCCCTGCAGCTCTGCCTCGCAGAATTGCCTTTTTAAATGTCAACATATTGACGTCAAGTTCCTAATGAAAAATCACCAAAAGGAAAACGTGCATGCATCAAATTTTGAACAGGATTTTTCTTTGACATTCAATTAGTTGGCTGTTATTTGGGGAATTTCAGACAAATCTCTGGTCTACCTTTTCTGTACTTAGGGCTGGCCACCCACAGCTCTCAGTCATCAGGCTTTTCCTGTTCTGGCCATCCACTCTCTGCTACAAGGGACCTGGAGAGAGTTCCAGCAGCTCCCCTGCCATTTGTCAAGGTTCTAGGGCTGGTTCTTTTATATTCCAGTTGCTCTTTTATACTGTGGCTTTTTTTCTGTGCTCCAGGGCAGACTAATCTTTTCACAGTCCCTCAGTACTATCCCTTCCCACTGCAGTGTACAGAGTCAGAGTGGGGATTCCCTTGGTCACCAAGTCCCCCTCTCTCTTGCCACTCTCTGTGTGGTCTATTTTTTGTTGTGCAGAAGCTTTCAGTCAGCCCTCAGTTCTTCTTCAAGAGGAATTGCTCTATAAATAGGTGTAGATTTGGTGTGTCTGTGGAGGAGATGAGTTCAGGGTCTTCCCACATTGCCATCTTGGACCAGAACTCCTGAACTGTACACTTTACAAGGGTTCTGGTATGTGAATTATATCTCAATAAAGTTGGTTTTTTGCCTTTTTTTTTTTTTTTTTTTTTTAAGGCAGTCATCCTGGGAATATGCCTGGTCTGTTCCTGCCCACAGCTGCACGGGTAGGGATAGGGTCAGCAGTGACTTGGAAGACATGAACATTGACTGTGAACAGGTCTATGGGGCATAATCCCCTGCTCTATAAAGTAGAGAGGTGGCCCAGGAGGCATGGGGGGAAGGATGGTGGGAAATGGTGTGGGAGATGAGGAGGTTGTGTTGCTTAGAGCTAGGCCCTCCTCTCTTCACCCAAAACTACCCCATGAGTACATTTTGTATATTGGATCCCCACTTAACGCTTTACCTTGCATGTAGGGTCCTCTGCTTAAAACTTTTTGAACACCCCTGGGCTACATGTCACCTAAGATTTCTTCTCACTCAGTTGTATAGTGGCCTCTATAAAGTACCTCATTATCTTCATTTGAATACAACTCTTGTCCTCACCGTTTTCACTGAGCCCTTAGCTCTCAAAGAAGGAATCTCAGCCCCAGTCCTGGTGCATTTTGTTGCCTCAACCTTTGGCTCAAACACAAATCTACTATTGTTCTCCATTGATTACAGAGACATCAAGACTTGTGTGGAATGTTCCCTTACCAGGTTGTGGGTTAATATTTGGCCAGTACCTAGAAAAATGCCTGGCACATAGTTAATTTTACATAAATATTAGTTATTATAATTAGCCTGATACTGTTTTAATCTCAGCTTCTTGGGCTCCAGAGATCTGACTGGATCTTGCTCACAAGGTGTTTCTAGTCATCCCCCAAAATTCAGTTCCCCATCATCTGTCTCACTTTTTTACTTTATTTCCTTCTTTCGTTTCTTGGAGTGTTTAGGGTTAATTAATCATATTTCTCATTTCATGATATTTATTATAATAGGTCTGGTTCAGGCCCCTTTTTAAAAAATTAATTAACTAATCAATTAGTTTTTCCTCACTTTTGTCTTGCAACCCATTCCTATTCACCTTCCTCCATGATAGGGAAACACTTTGATGTATTTAATATGTGACATTGTCTCTGAATGTGTTCTTACCAAAAAAAAAAAAAAAGTATATTGTTATAGTGCAATATTTTGTCCAATATTTATATGTTATATTTTTCATCTTTAGAAGTTCCACTGGATCTTCTTTCTATCTTCCATTTCTCTTCTTATGGTCATGTTTTCCTTTACCTCCTCTTGAGCATATTTATAATATTTAAAATAGCTATTTTAAGGTCCTTGTCAGCTAATTCAATCTCTCTGTTATTTCTAGATCTAGTATATTGATTGACATTTGTCCTGGTTATGAGTCATATTTTTCTGCTTCTTTGCATGCCTGGTAATTTTTTTAGTGGACATTATTTTTTTAAAGCAGTTTTAGGATTCATTGTCATTGCAGACAAACAAGAACAGTTCTAATATGAACTTGTGAAGGCGTATCTGAAAAACCAAGACAATATAACCATCTTGGTTTAAGGAACAATGAGAAGCATGGGAGGAGAAGATACTTTTACCATTTGGAAGCTTGATGCTTCTGGGGAGAAATTAAAAGATGCTAAAAATCATCATATTTAAATGCAAACACTTCAACTCTATTAGCTGAAGTTTGACTTTATTCTTCAGTTTAAGCCATAGAAGTGTGGCAGCAAAGCTGATCAAGCGAATTTCAACAGATTTAACTCTAACTTTCCACTGATTTCTCTCTTAAAATTGGAGCCACATTTCCACATGGGGAGCTGGTGGGAGACGGGGGAGGAAAACGAACTGGTGAGAAGATTTCACAGCTAGTCCTGAAACAGACTCCATGTTTAATACACCATCAGGATGATGTCCATCACCAGTCAAAAGTGAAGCTGCACTCCTTGAGGACAGGAATGTCTTCCATTTTTGTGTATGCATCTAACCCATTGCCTGGTTAATCACAGTGGCTTGACATGAGCACTGGATGAGTGCTGAATGGCTGAGTGAAAAGACATAGTAATTCATGCTGGGAGTGTGGTGTGGTGTAATATACCTTGGGAACTCTTCAGGCCTTTCCAGATTCTTATATCTGGTCCACCTTTATCTAAGCATGACTGTGTGAGTGTTGCGTGCATGTGTGTACACACACACAAACACACACACCTCCCTTTTATGTAGTACTCAGTTCCCCCAAAATTATTAGTGAGTCACCTGAGTCTCATGTCAAACTGTGAGTCATTAGGACTGGTAGTCTGCAGAAACCTTATTCACAGGTTAAAGACAATACATGTCAACACAGATTTAATGAGCATCTACTTTGTACCCAGCACTGTGTTGGAAACAAAGAAATATCAAGAAAAGCATCTGATATAAATCCTAGTCTAGGGGGATTTGTAATCTGGCTGACAAGATAAAACAAATACAGAAGATCACAGAGAGCTCCATCCAGTGATAAAATATGCAGCACAGGTGACTGGATTAAGTGAGAGCATGAGAAGGGAAGTTAGTGTGGCATGAAGTAGTCAGTGAAAACTTGACAGAGGAAGGTGTATTGAGAATGAGTTGGTGCTGTGATGCCTAGTGAAGTTGCAGTGGTGTGGCTTGTAGCTAGAAGCATGGGGATGTTTTGAGATCAGAGAATCAGGGGCTTAAATCCTGCCCTGGCACTCCTCTTTCTGCCATGTGACCTCAACCTCTCTACACTTCAGGTTTCTCCTCTTTAAAGTCGGGATAACCACAGGGTTTGGGAGATGAATAAATGAGATCATGCCCATGCAATGCTTAGCATCATGGCTGGCACTATGATGATGATGATAATGATGTCATCAACCGGCAAAGAAGATGGAGAAGACTGAAAGACAAGCTCAATTGGGCATGTGTCTAGAAGCAGCGAGGTCTCCACAGAGGCTCAAGATTCAAGTTCAGGAGTTGTGGGCACAGAAGTAAGAGGTGAATCCACAAGACAAGATGAGCTATTGGTGGGAGGACAGAGCATGGAGGACAGAGGGAGCAAGACCCTGGGAAAAATACAGTGTATGACTTCATGCAAATCTGAGTGCTGTTAGCTCTCTTAGTGTGGTATGGAAGAAAGGCCTCACTCACTCCCCATGTGAGCAACCATTCTAGCCTCACCATGGGTTTACGGTGACAGGCTGTTGTCCTCCATGATGACAAAAGTGTGAGAATGGATCAATGCAAATCCATCACCACTCAAAGCTTATGCTCTACTGACAGTCAAGCTTGATACCTAAAGCATAGGGCACAGTCATTATGAAAGTGCTGTGCAAAGTCAGAAATCATGAGAACAGGCAGAAGATTTGTGAGACACTCATTCAGCCATCTAGCAATGATGCACCATCAAGTTTCTGCAAAACAGGCCTGGCTCTGTGTTGTTAATGGTCATATAATGATAACGACGAATATCACACAATCCCTCTCAGGAAGGCAGACTCATAAACAAACCATCACAAGTCATGTGCTAAGTCAGGTAAAGAACTTCAGAGTGCCATGGGCACAATGTCACGTGTTCAGGTGGAAAAGGTTCATCCAGCCTTGTTGAGCACAAGCTGATACCACCACTGACAGTTCATGTGGCTATTTGTGAATTCATCACTTGGTGTGAAGAATGGAGGCTTGTTTCCTGCTTTCCCTGCCCATCCCTCCTTGGCACCTTCTCTTATTATCAGAAGTGTCACCACCCTCCTGACTGTAATCTTAGCACAAATGTGCTCACGCAATGCTCCTGAGTCACCTGAGTGCTCTTGCCTTATTCCTGTCCCATTTCCTTTAGTGGCAGCTTTTCCAACCTCACCCTCCCCTCTGAGGCGGTCCTGTGTTACCTCCACCTACAACTCACTTGTCAGCTCTGCTCACTCCCTGCCCTCATTCCTTGGCCTTGCACAGAGCTGTGCCAAGGAGAGCTCCAGGTTCCCTTTTGGGATCCTCTCCCCCTCTTTCCGAGCTATATCCAGAGATGTCTCTACACCCTGACCTGGAGAGGCTTTGTGCAAATATTGTGCCAATATTTGTTAACATAGGAAAATGCATGAAATGTTTAATAAGGGAAAAATACTAGAATGCTGAACTGTGTGCACAATACTGGGAGGTGGGCTCAGAATTGAGTACGAGCCCAGCAGTGAAATCAGGATTTGAGTGATAGGTCTGCCACTTCCTAGCCATTTGAGGTTAGTCAAGGTTGCCAACTTTTCTTAGCCTCTGATTTTTTTTAAGTTTATTTATTTGTTTTGAGAGAGAGAGAGAGAGCATGCACACCTGTGAGGTAGGGAGGGGCATAGAGAGAGGGAGAGAGAGAATCTTCAGTAGGCTCAATTTTAAGATTGAGCAGGCAGAGAAACTGCCCCCAAGGAGGGGCTTGATCTCACGGTTTGTGAGATCATGACTTGAGCAGAAACCGAGAGCCAGACCCTTAACCAACTGAGCCACCCAGGTGACTCTCTTAGTCTCTGATTCTTTTTTTTTTTTTTTAATTTTTTAACATTTATTTTTGAGAGACAGCAAGACAGAGCACAAGTCGGGGAGGGGCAGAGGGGGGGTTACACAGAATCCGAAGTAGGTTCCAGGCTCTGAACTGTCAGCTCAGGGCCTGACATGGGGCTCAAACTCACAGACTGCGAGATCATGACCTGAGCCAAAGCCGGCCGCCCAACCAACTGAGCCACCCAGGTGCCCCTGATTCTTAATCTTTAAAATGAGGGTAATAATGGTAGCTTCTGTGTAGAGTTGTCCTGAGGATAATATAGCAATATGCCTGGCTGATATTATTGAATTTTATTATTATTATTATCATCATCATCACCATCATCATTATTATTAAATGGGGTGGGCTGCCAATGCTGGACTTGAAGGGACAGGGTCCCCAGGACATTGGCAGTAGGATGGGCTGGGGGATATTGCTATACTTAAAGAGTGCAGAATGGGGGAAATATGGCAAGGGACAAAGCACAGAAGTTGGCTAGCAGAGGGAAAGATGCCCTCTCAGGAATAAAAACAATGTAGTACCTCCTTTCTAGAATTTCTCTACTGGGTACAAACCCTCACTTTTCTAAGCTTTTGTTACACAGTTTCCTTCCTTTTCTGCCTTCCTTTATGACACTTTCCTTTATAAGCTTCCAAGACAATATACCCATAGAAAAGGGGGAATCCAAGCCACAGACACTTTGTCTAAGTATCTGATGGTCTGAGCTGAAATTCTAGCATTTGGTTTGAAGATGGAAATTCACAGCCAAGAGATGAGCAAGACCTAGTTAGGCCACTGAGTAGTCTTGCCAAAGGAGTCATGCCTGCCCAGTCCTGCTTGCAAAGTCAGGGACTCACAACTTGCTGGAGTTTCTGTGGGCCCTGGCAGTGCTTCTTTGAGCAACCAGAAGCCCAGCCTCTGCACAGTGTCTCTTCCATGAGCCCCGGAGAGGAGTTCAGGAAGGTGGGGAGAGAGGTTGGCAATATCATCAACCCAGTGCTCCAGACAGCTCCCCTGACTAGTCCTGCAGGTGCCAAAGAATGGTTTCCCTGGGCCCAGAGCCCTATATCCAGGAATCCATAGAATTCCTGAATCCACAGCCCACAGTTTTGTTTTTGTTTATTTGTTTGTTTGGGTTTGTTTTTTTTTTTTTTTTTTTTTTTTTTCTCTTTCTGCAGTAATGAGGTGCCTGGGGATCCCCACCCGTGTGATCACCAACTTTGACTCTGGCCACGACACAGATGGAAACCTGATCATAGATGAGTATTATGACAGCACAGGCAGGATCTTGGAGAATAAGAAGAAGGACACTGTCTGGTGAGAGACCACCTCTCTGTCTCTTTCCAAGGCAAACTCCACCAGCAGATAGTGGGGCAGGACTGTGCCCACAAGCCTGCTATTCTCCCAGACCCGCCTCACTTTTACCAGTCCCAGGGCCCTGTATCCCCACCTCGAAGGCTGAGACATAGCTGAACACAAAAACGATTCTGAGTTTAGAATCCTCACATCACAACAGCTTTCTGCCCTGGGTGAGATTTCCCTCTTTGCCATCTCCTTCATTTAATACTCAGCCTATAGCTCTGACTACAGGAGGGCCTGAAGCCCCACCTCCAGACACACCCATGTCTGCCCCTGTGACTCAGCAGCACACACAAGAAAGGCCATGAGGACCTTTGGGAGAGAGAGAGTGAGGGATATTTAACTTCAGTTAATTCCAGTTAATATAGAGTTAATACTCTCTATTCACAGAAGAAAGCTCTTTTCTGGGCAAGTCAAGGCTCACAGGAGGAAACGCTGCCACTACTCATCCATAGAGTTTGAAGGTGTAGGGTGCATTAAATCTGTCTTTCTATTTAGCGGTCCATGTACCCATCGGCCCCTGCCTTGCTCTGGAAAGAACATAAGCACTACAAGCTCTCTCTTGCCTTCATTTGACACTGACTCCTCTGGCTTCTCCTTCAGGAATTTTCATGTGTGGAATGAGTGTTGGATGGCCCGAAAGGACCTCCCTCCTGGATATGGAGGCTGGCAGGTGCTGGATGCCACCCCTCAGGAGACGAGCAATGGTGAGGCTGTCCAGAAGAAAGGTGGAACCCACTCCCCAGAAACCGCCCTTACCCCTGCCTGACCCTGCAGCAATGACCCATCGTGGCTCTTCTGTTCTTCAGGCCTCTACTGCTGTGGCCCTGCCTCTGTCAGAGCCATCAAAGAGGGAGAGGTGGATCTGAACTATGACACAGCCTTTGCCTTTTCCATGGTCAATGCTGACTGCATGTCTTGGCTTGTCTACGGAGGGAAGGAGCAGAAAATTCACCGGGACACGAATACTGTTGGCAATTTTATCAGCACCAAGAGCATTCAAAGTGATGAGCGAGATGACGTCACAGAGAACTACAAATACATAGAAGGTATGACTGAGTCAATCCCTGCCAGAGTCCAAGTCCTGTGGGCTCCTTCCCCCCAACCCCAGGGAACCTCCCAGCCAGCTGGGGTGGCCCTCTGGGGAACCAGAAGGCATCTGAGGGATATAACCCAGGTCCCCTTGTCTCTTCAGCCCTTCAGTTTTAAGGTCTCAGTTGAGATGTTCCCATTGCCTCACTTCCTTGTGCTCACCGCCACCCCACATCCCACAGGCCAGTGAGCAGCTTCCACAAGATGGTCACATGGACCTTTAGGGCCAGTAACAGGCATCCCACCAGTGTGGGATGTGAATCCCTCATGGCTGCCTTCTTGGAAAGTTACCCTCCTTCTGAAGATGGCAGGGGATCTGTAAACCTTATCATATTAGTTAATTTAATTAATTTCATGTAACATATTGATTAATTAACTTTGTTTTAGTGAGTGTTTGGAGGACAGTCCAGACCACCAACAAACACCAAGGCCACATGTTTACTCCCACCCCGACCTGCTGCAGAGGACGGTTCTGAGAGGTGGGAGACCTGGCAGGGGCTTCTTACTCTAGTTAGCAGGGACAAATAGACAGTTAAGGTAGTCAGGTGTGAACTAATTCCCAAAATTTGAGAAAGACCAAGCACTAGGTCCAACCCCCTGGGAGGCCAATCAAAAATACACAGTCCATGAAGGCCAGAAGCTAAGTGAGGAGGAAAAGCTAATCAAGAGTGAATCAGGAAAGTGGGGGAGCGGCAGTTAGCTGAGCAGGTGCTAGGAGTGCTGGCCAGTAGGTATCTATGGTTTGTCTATGTGGGCCTTTGGGACCCACAGAGAAGTTCCAGAGTCTGAGCATAGGAAGGGGTTACACAATGAGAGGCAAGCAATGAACACAGCTCAGCATGCTGTTTATCACCCCCTTCCCCTCCATCCACTCTGGAGCTATCTTGTTCTGGGTGCCAGAACAGATCCTGAGGCAAGGATTCAAGGACAAGTGGTTTATCTGTGAGGCCATCCAGGAACTCCTGGAAGGAAGGAGAGTGAGCAAGGGAGATAGGGGAAGGGAGGAAGCCAACACAGGGCACCTCGTCAAGCTGGTTAGCAGCACAGGCAGCTGGAGCTCAGCTGCTGCTGGGGAGCTCTGCGAGTGGGGTTGCCAGGGAAAATACAGGACAAATAATGCTTTAGTCTAACCATGTCCTAAATTCTTTGTTGTTAATCTGAAACTCGATTTAAATGGCCCTGTATTTTTATTTGCTAAATCTGGCAACCCTATCAGGGATTCAGAGTAAAGTGTAGAACAGCACCACAGATTTATCTCATCCAAGAGGCAAGGGGCTAGTCAAGGGTTGAAGCCTGCTCCTTGCCGTGTAAAGTCCCTAGCACTTTTGGCCTGTTCCATGCACCGGCTAAAGCAGCTCTGGTGGCAAACAAAGCCTCAGACAAAGAGTGGAAAGTGCTAGAATTTGAAAGTAGGGCACATGGGCATTGAACTAGCAAGCTCCAAGGAGATGTAGGTGGGCAGTGACAGCATTCACTAGAGGTCCATGGGGTTCCACTGTGAGCTTGGGGGTTTGGAGCTATATTCCTTTGGGCCTGAGGGTGCTGATTAGTCAGGCAGTATTTGGTCTCCTCCCACTCAGCCTGTAGAGCTGACCACAGGTGAGCTAAATCTGATTCACATCTCCCTGGGCCCACTCTTGCTAAAGCAGATGCCTTGAGATCCTTTTCTGCCTGGAACGAGGCTTAGAATGACCCCCAGGGCAAGAGGATAAAAAAGTGGCCTCTACCTGGGGAGATTGTGGGGATGCACTGGGGTGGGGATGCACTGGGGTGGGGATGGGGGCAGTCACTGGGGATAGTGATTGCTTAGTGAAAGCAGTGGGGGGATTATTAGGGAAGCATGGGTGACTATTCCTGCATATCTTGGCTACAGTGCCTCCCCAGTACTAAAGCCACACCTCTCTGGGAGCTCAGCTTGCCTAAATATTTTTCTTTTCTTTTTCTTTTTTTCCTTTCCTTTCCTTTCCTTTCCTTTCCTTTGCTTTCTTTCTTTTTCTTTCTTTCTTTCTTTTTTTCTTTTTAAACTGTGGCTTCTCAGTTTCTCATTTCCAGGAATTAGTCTACACCTGACCAATCAATTGGTTCTAGAACAGGAAATCACACCGTGCTATCTTTAAGAAGCTTAAAGGGCCTTTGTCTTTCCCGTGAAGAAGGCAGGATAGAGTCTAGGGGTCATGAGCACAGATTTTCATGCTGGGCAGATTTGGTTTCCACCTGGATTCTGCCGTTTGCCAGTTGTGGAATTTGGACAAGTGATGTGACCTCTCTGAGCCCCATTTTCCTCATCTGTATATGGATTATGTTGGTGGTGGTGGTGGTGGTGGTGGTGGTGGTAAGGATGTGGAGAAAAAGGAACTCTCATGCACTGTTGTGGGAATGCAAACTGGTACAGTCACTGTGGGAAACAGTATGGAGGTTTCTCAAAAAATTAAAAATAGAACTACCATATGACCCAGCAATCACACTATCGGGTATTTGTCTGAAGAAAATGAAAACACCAACTTGAAAAAATATATGCACCCTCATGTTCACTGTAGCATTATTTACAATAGTCAAGCTATGGAAACAGCCCAAGTGTCCACTGATGGATGAATGGCTAAACAAAATGTAGTATATGTATACAATGGCATATTATTCAATCACAAAAAGAAAAAAAAGATATCTTGCCATTTGCCACAATACGGATGGACCTTGAGGGCATTATGCTAACTGAAATGAGTCAGACAAAGACAAATACTGTATGATTTTCTCTCTTAGGTGTGGAGTCTAAAAAAAAAAAAAACACGGAAAAGAAACCAAGTTCATAGGTACAGAATACAGATTGGTGGTTACCAGATGAAGGGGGGTGGGATGGGAGAAATGGGTAAAAGGGGTCAAAATGTAAGTAAACAAGCAAATAAATAAAACAGTGCTAGTGATTTAAGAAAAAACAGTTCTAGGCCTTTCATGGAACTGAAGAGAAAGTCTAAAGGGCCATCTTATCTCTACTGGGGACACCACTTTCACATGGGCACTGCTAAAAAATAATAATAATAATAAATAATAACAATACATCCCTCTCATGGTTGAGGTGAGGATGAATGGTGTGAAATGCTCAGCAAAGCTGACACTTAGAAAGCTCTTGATGCAAGGTAGGCAGTGTTCATTGTTGGAAATGAGGGTTTTAACACACCTGCAGTGTTCAGCCAAGGCTTGCACCCCTGGGTCAGACTGGTCCACAGCCGGTGCCATCTCTGTCCTTCCAGGTTCCCCCCAGGAGAGGCTGGTGTTTATGAGAGCTCTTCAGAAGCTGAAGGCTAGAAGGTCTGAAGGCCCCCACAAAGCAGACTCACAACATTCCACACCTGTGCCACTGAATGGGGACAGCCCTCGGAGCCTGCATATGCCTTCCCTTCGGCCCAGTGATATAGTCCAGGTCTCCTTGAAATTCCAGCTGCTCGACCCGCCCAACATGGGCCAGGACATAAGGTTTGTCCTGCTGGCCCTCAACATGTCACTCCAGTTCAAGGACCTCAAAGTGAACCTGAGTGCCCAGTCCCTGCTGCATGATGGCAGCCCCCTGCCCCCTTTCTGGCAGGACACAGCCTTCATCACACTTTCTCCTGAAGAAGGTATGGGCTCTGGGTATGGGCACAGGGATGGTCTGTGTATACGGAGTGGGTTATGGAAATGCCAGTGGGGACAAGCCAGCCAACAAGGATTCTGGGGACACACCCCTGTGACACCAGTCTTCCTAATGTCCCCTTCGGCACAGATTCCTTCTCCCCTCCTTCCCTCCTTTCCTCTCTCTCCCCCCTCTCTCCCTCTTTTCCTCCCTCCCTTCTCCTCTTCTTCTTTTTCTTCTCTCCTTTCTCTTCCACCCAATCCCTTCCCTTTACTACTTCAAGGAAAGGAGCCTGGTTTAATAGGGGAAGCCTGAGCTTTGGAGGCCTCCAGACTTTGGTTAGAACCTCAGCTTACCATTTACCAGTAGAATGACCTTGGGGAAACCATTTTGCCTTTCTTAACCTCAGCCTCTCACCTGAAAACCTAGTGCCTGCTTCACTGGGGCTTAATACATGTTTGTATTAAGCCGCTTTCCCAAAGAAAGGTCCCCCAGATCCATCCAAGGCCTAGCTGATTTTCCCAGCTACACTCATCTTATCTTTTTGTTTTCTCCCTAGCAAAGACCCATTCCTGCAGAATTCCCTATTCCCAGTATAGCCAGTACCTGTCAACAGACAAGCTGATCCGCATCAGTGCCCTGGGCGAAGAGAAGAACAGTCCGGAAAAGATTCTGGTGGACAAGATCATCACCTTGGCTTATCCAGGCATCATGATTAATGTAAGTGGCCTGGGGGCCCCTGGAGATCTGGCTGGGGTGGGAGCCCTCTGAGAGTCTGTTCAGGAGAGCAGCCTCTGACTCTTGCCTCTGACTCTTCTGGTGTCCCCAAATACCTCCCTATCAGAACATGAGATTCATCTGAAAACATTGGACAGGATGTCCATCCTCTTGCACCATTAAAGGCGTTATGGATGGACCTTGAGCAGGTTTCATGGAAAGGACAAGGAGAGATGCCTCCCTTGTGCCACCTTCTACTGATGGCTTTCCCCAGGGTCAACATGAGGAACTATGAGCTCAGATGGGAGAAACCTGAGTGGGGAGGAAAGCACTGACTGAGATCAGCTTAGGTGTGATTTGCCATTTCCTGGCTGTGCATTCTTAGACAAGGCCCTGGGTCTCTGCTTCTTGAACTGTCAAATGAGAGGATTAGACGAGCTGGCCTCTGAGGACACTGCCTGCTGTGACATTCTGTGGTCCTCTGAGTGGGAAGACTTCATGGATCTCTTCCAGTGCTATCTCCCCAAGGCCAAGCAGCCTCCTAGACCCTGCCAAGTGAGCCTGTGGGGCCCCATGGTGGGGTGTGTCTGGCAAGCCCAGCCACGGGAGTCTGTTTTAGGGAGGGTTTCCAGGTTTGCTTCCATCTGTCTACAGCCTTGAATGTCCCATTGCTTTTCACTCACACACTGGTGTGAAAAGAAATGAGCCAGTTATGTTAAGAAGAAGAAAAGGGATGGAGTGGAAGTGCAATAAAAAAGTGCCAAAGAAGATTCTATCCACTCAAATTATGCATGAGAATGCTTGAGATTGATTAGTTTACACTTGGATGAAATCCTTGGAGCAGAGGAAACATCACTAGAGACTCCAATTTATCAGACTTTTCCATATGCTGGGTTGAGGGATGTAAAATATTTTGTACAAACATCTATGCATGTATAAATGAAACAAAGTTTTACATAACAATATCTTGTGTGATATACACTAATATTTTCTTCTATTAAAAACATTAACAACAATCCATCGAGTTGGTTTTAACCCATAGTTGGAAAAACCTGAGTCACAGAAGTCCAGCTCTTCAGGAAATACATCTAAGGAGCAATTGCTTACACAATTGCACAGCTAACATTCTTTAATTCATAACAGAAAAAGTGACCTATAAAATGCCATCAGCATAGAAACTCCCCAGTATGATAATATTTCAGTCATAATAAATTGGGGATTATGGAAAAGAAAGGAAACAGTAAGAAAGATTTTAAAGTCCTAGTCTTACATATAGTAGAACTCTACAAGGAAAAATTTCCAGCAACTATAATAGAAAGCATTAACAGACACTGAAGATACAAGTCATCTTCCTGTTGAAGTGGGCCCAATCAAGGGTTTAGTGAATTGGGGAATGAGATTAATTTTCTATTCCCTTCCTCTTCCCTGGATTTCTCTGTTTAGGTTTTAGGAGCTGCCATTGTGAATCAGCCACTCTCCATACAGGTGCTGTTTTCAAACCCCCTCTCAGAGCATGTTGCAGATTGTGTGCTGACTGTGGAAGGAAGTGGTCTCTTCAAGAAACAGCAGAGAGTTCTGTGAGTTCTGGGGGTATTCAGCCTTCACTTCCATCTTGTCTTGGGGTCATCACTATCCTTCTTTCTGGTGACGGGTGCCAAGGCCAGTCTCTTAAAACATGATGAAAGAAAAGCCCTGGTTGCTGAGTGGAAAGAGCTTTGGAGTTATCATATTGGGTATGATTTTCTAACATTCTGTTTTCTATGCTACAGCATTGGAGTCCTCAAACCTCAACACAGGGCCAGCATCACTCTGGAGACTGTCCCCTTCAAGAGTGGCCAAAGGCAGATCCAAGCTAATCTGAGGAGCAACAAGTTTAAGGACATCAAGGGTTACAGGAATGTCTATGTAGACTTGAGGTTATAAATTTTGGAACAATGAGTGGATGCACAGATTTTAAGCTTCAGGAGAAGGAGCAAGTTCAAATGCAAGCTGTGCCACTCCACAACAGGAGCTTTGTAGGGGTTCTGAAGTAAGCAACAGAGGAGATGTCAGCAATGGATAGTCCCCTGGACCATTTGCACAGCTCCCAAGGAGTCTTATCAGAGACCAGAGAGTCTATGGTGTCCAATCCAGAGTTGTGAGATAACACTCAAATGTCTGAGGGCAGTGGTTGGACTTGACCATGACTTACTGCCCCCTCAGAAGACTGACTGAGCAGCTCACTGTCATTTTGTCACTGCAGTGGCTAATGTCCTAGTCCCAATAAATTTCAGTCCTTTGCACCCATGTAGTCATCACTTTCCCTCCAGCAACCCCTACCTATTCTCCGGATGCTGGGAGTGTCCTATTGTTTTAACACCTGAGCCCATTCAAGGGTGAATTTCTGAGTGCCTAGTATGTGCCAGCTGCTGTTCTGAGTATGGGAGAGAAGACAGTAAACAAAGCAAAGGTTCTGCCCCCATGGAGCTTACATTCTATTGGTTGTGGTGGGGCTACAGAAAACAAACATGTCAACAGGTAAGTAAGGTACTTACAGATAGTGTGTCCGTCATGATCTAGTTAGGAAAACCAACCCCTGTAAATGTTTCTACATACTACCTCTTTGTATCTTGGGGGAAAATGAGATCTCTCATTTGGCCTTCCTTTGAATCCCTTTCCATATCACATCCAAGATGTCCCTCAATCCTAAAAGTTCCAGCCTCTTGGCTCAAAATCTGCCAGTGCATTGTGGTGCTGGATGGACCTGGAATGACTGTGGTTCCAGAGAAAACACCAGCTGATGATGCAGTGAAGTAGATTTTTGGTAGGAAATGAAGTACTCTCAGACCCTTATAATGGCTATAGCTCGTATGTATCCTCCCTGTGAACACAAAGCCACTCCAATAATTATCTCCTCTCAGATGCACCTGCTTTCTCACGGCACCGTGCCAAATTTGGGATGGAGAGAGGCATGATGCACCTGCCCTCCAGGTACTGCTACATGACTAAGACAGCTGTTTGGGGCATATATTAAATACACACACATTAAATAAATACTTCTATTATATATAAACAAAATGGTAAGTGTAACTGACCAGAGGGAGAGAAGAGGGTGTGGTGAGAATTGCATAGTAGGTTGATGGCCCTATTAAAGAGTAGGAGAGAACCAGGAGAACCCTAACAGCAGGGACCTGGAAGTAACATATAATTATTTCATTCTGTAGTTGTTGCCTAACAATCATGAAAAATGGTTTCAGGAAAACATTGTGGATGGGAACATCTTACAGAGACAGTGACCTCTGAAGTACTTTTCAACTACCACACCCTCAGACTCTTTCAGGAATCTTGATTTTAACAGTACATTCATTAACTCTTCCACTCAACAAATATTCAGAGTTTCTATAGGGGCCAGGTCCTGAGCTAGGCACTGAGGACACAAGAAGGACCAGGGTCTGCCCTCAAGGAGCTCAAGTCTAAGCATGTGGAAAATGAAAAATGGACAGGAGGTTCTAACACAGAGTGGTGATAACCACCATTGGAGTGAGTGCAAGGTGTTATGGGTGCATAAGGAGAGGCAACTTGTCCAATCTTAGGATTGTGAATCAAGGAAGTCTTCCTGGAGGGGAGTGGCATTTAAGCTAAAATCTAACAGACAAGGAATCAAAGGGTTGGAATGCAGTAAAGCAGTCAGGAACTGCAAGTCATTCTGATAGCTAGAGATAAGAGTGGGAGGTGGCAAGTAGCAGGAAAAAATGAGTCTAGAGCCAAGGGATGAAGAGCTTCAGGCAGGCAGTCTAAGGAGTTTGGACAGCGATCACCTGCAGGCATCTGTTTCCTTTAAGTCTTGGATCATGGTCTTTGCCTGAAATGTCAGTGCTTAAAGTTGATTCTATTTTGCGGAGCTGAGCAGACTTCATGTGATTTCAGAAGCACTTAAAGGACAAATAGTTCTCCATCCTGGCCTGTCATAGAGGCTTACAACTCCCATCAGAGCATTCCTTTGAGCTAAGGCCTTCCTTGAATGTCAAGGTTGTCTTTCAACTATTCATTTAACATTTATTGAGTACCTATGTGTTGAATATTCTAGGCCCAAGGATAGAGCAGTAACAAGGCAAACAAGGCAAAGGATTTGAATAGATGTCTCTCCAAAGACACTATACAAATGGCCAAAAAAAGCACATAAAAAGATGCTCAATATCACTAATCATGAGAAAAATGCAAATCAAAACTACACTGAGATATTAAAAGTAGAAATACCATACAACCCAGTCTACTACTGGTTATTTAACCAAAGAAAATGAAAACACTAGTTCAAAAACATATGAACCCCTATGTTTGTTTGTTTAGTGAAATAAGTCATATAGAGAAAGACAAATTCTATGTGATTTCACTTATATGTGGAATCTAAGAACAAACAGACAAAAGAGACAGACCCACAGAAAACAGACTGATGGTTGCCAGAGGGGAGGGAGTGGAGAAGTGGGTAAAATGGGTGAAGGGGAGTGGGAGGTACAGGCTTCCAGTTATGGAATGAATAAGTCATGGGAATAAAAGGCACAGCATAGGGAATATAGTCAATGGTACTGTAAGAGCGTCATATAGTGACAGATGGGTAACTACACTTGTGGTGAGCATAGCATAATGTAAAGACTTGTCTAATCCCTATGTTGTACACCCGAAACTAATGTGTGTCAACTTTTTATTTTTCAAAAAAACCCTCTACATTGAGATATTACATTACATCCATTAAGATGGCTATTAAAAAAAAAAAAACAGAAAATAACAAGTATTGGTGGGAATTGAGAAGTTGTTGGTAGGATTGTAAAATGATGCAACCATTTTGGAAAACAGTATGGCAGTTACTCAAAAAGTTTAAAATAGAACTACCATATGATCCAGCAATCCCATTTTGGGTATATTTTCAAAAGAATTGAATGCAGGGTCTCAAAGAGATACTTGCACACCCATATCCACAGCACTATTCACAATAGCCAGGAGGAAGAAGCAACCCAAATGTCCATCGCAGGATGAATGGATAATCAAAATTTGGTATATACATACAATGGAATATTCATCCCTAAAAGGGAAGGGAATCCTGTCACATGCTACAACATGGATGAACCTTGAGGACATTATGTTAAGTGAAATAAGCCAGTCATAAAGGGATAAATACTGTATGATTCCACTTACATGAAGTATCTAAATTAGTCAAATTAATGATATAGAAAGTAGCAGAGCCTGAGGGGAGGGAGTATGAGGGAGTTCAAGTTTCAATTCTGCAAGATGAAAAGGTTTTGGAGATCTCTTTCACAACAATGTAAACATACTGAACACTACTGAATTGTATACTTAAAAATGGTTAAGATGATAAATGTTATGGTATGCGTTTTCTACCACAATAAAAAAATTTTTAACCATCCTATACTGGTTCAGCATTTACAACTTTATTAGATAAATAATAATAGCATCCATAACAATGTCAGCAGGAATAAAAATCTCCATTAATTGAGTGCCTAAAAACAAACAAGCAAAACTGGGTTTCAGTCTTTGTAAGCGTTGGTCTATTTCCTATTACCTTTACTCCTGGAGTAGAGTCCTTCAGGGGTCCTGATTGAAAACCTGGGGTATTTATTGAGGCCCTTCATCCTGGTGGCCCTGGAGCTCCAATTTTTACCCTCCAGCCCTGCGAGATTGCCAGAAGATCTGCTCAGATTCTCAGGCTGTCATCCGCCAATTGTGAATCAGCAAATGTCCTAAAGGGAGAAGTGGCACTCTGTCAGGCTTACCATCTCTGTGCTTCTCTTCTGCATGAGATCTTGATCCCTCAAATCCTTGATGCCTTGATGCCTTCAGGCAGATATGTGAAATATTTTATTCAGTTTTTCTGGTTATTATCAACAGGGGCTATAGTATCAAAGTAGTTTGCTCTATCTAGAAGCAGAAATCCTTGAGAGGTATTAAAAGAGGCCTGAATAGAGAGAACTTCCTAGTGATAGTTTGGATTATAGGCTAATAATGAAGTCGAATGTATGTATGGGACCAGAGCTGGACCTGACCTATGTTTGAGTCCAGTCTTTACCACAAACTGTGAAATCTTGGGAAATCAGATCCTGGGAGGCTCAGAGATAAACTTCTAGTGTGTGGACACCATGTTTACAGATAGATTGTAATGTGCATTTTTAGTCTCATTTTTGCAATTTTATCTCCATCTCTATTCATCTTTTGCATCATTTTAATATATGCTCTTCTTTTAAAGTTTATTTATTTATTCGAGAGAAAGAGACAGGGAGAGAGCAGGGGAGGGGCAGAGAGAGATGGAGAGAAAGAAAATCCTAAGCAGCCTACATGCTGTCAGCACAGAACCTGCTTGGGATTCTTCCTCTCTCTCTGCCCCTTCCCAGCTTGTACTCTTTCTGTCTCTCAAAGTAAATAAGTAAAGACTTTTTAAAAAAGTGTTTTAAAAGTCAGAGGTATAACTGACTGAGCCACCCAGGTACCCCAATATATGTTCTTTTTTTTAAGTAGGCTACATGGCCAACATGGGGGCTTAAACTCATGACCCTGAGATTGAGAGTCAGATGCTCCACCAGTTGAGCCAGGCAAGTGCCCCTAAGTTCTTTTTTTTTTTTTTTTAAGTAAGTTTCATGCCCAATGTGGGGCTTGAACTCACGACTCTAAGATCAAGAGTCACATGTTCTACCAACTGAGCCAGTCAGGCACCACAATATATGCTCTTCTGAAACATCATGTTTCACTGTTAGTCATCTTAAATTCTTTCTGGAAGGAGGCAGTATGTTAATTGATTTACTCATTAATTCATTCATTAAAATAAATATGTTTACTCCCTGGACCTGTTTCCTCACCAATAAAACAGGAATAATGATCTCTTACTTAGTTTACACACTTGAAGTTTCAGATCATATGAGATAATGTATGTAAAAATGCTTTGTAAAGCAATGTACCAGCATCATTAATTTATTTGAAAGTGGGAGTCCTGTTGAATATCTTTTCTTCCTTGCCCCCTGTAACCCAAACATTAGTGTGTCTTACCAATTTCATGTCCTGCATTTCTGTCAAATCAGTCCACCTCTATGTTCACCATCACTCCCCTGACCAGGCCACCATCATCTCTCACTTAAATCATTATGGCAGACTCTTACTGGTCCTCTCTTTTCCACTTTGGCCCCCAGCCAGCGTGGTATTTTATTTTATTTTATTTTTTAAATCCATTTTAAAAATACTTTTATTTATTTTTGAGAGAGAGAGAGAGAGAGAGAGAGAGAGACAGTGCAAGCAGGGGAGG